AGGAATTTGGAGGGGATATTGTTGTGGCCAGTGGCCTTGTTAGGTTGGAGGGCGCTCAGTTTAATGAGTACCTCTGCTTTTGATACCCTTGCTAGACTGAAATCATCTTTGCGTACCCCTAGGTTTTTGTAGTAGGTCATGATGTGATCTACTCCAAAAAGCCCTGAGTGGGAGGGTAATTTATTTATAAGAGTTGTGGCTATGTTTGTGAAAGAAATGTTCAAGTACTTGGCCACATCCAGTTTGTCTGTGATGAGCCTGTTATCTGTCTTTATGTTTAAGTTCGAAAATCTCGTTTTGAGTTTTTTACTGCAGCCAAGCTGGTTATTGAGTAATTTCCAAAGTTCAGTTTTTTCCTCAGTTTTAACATTGATGAAATTCTTTTTGGCAGTTTTGATCATGGAACTTCCCGATAGCAATGAATATCTTAAGTGCATTGACAAATACATAACAAAAAGTCATCTGTGGAAGCCGTAATACTGTAAAAAGCACGACCAATCATCTGAGCCGGCCCGGCTAAAGTAACTGGATGGCCTACCTGCCTGTCAGCCTTCCATCTGTGCACAAACTTATCTCGTGCCCTCATTGGTCATGTGCGCGTTCGTGTGTGTTGGAGGAGGGGCTCTGTAAGGAAGTGGCAGATTTTCTCCGGTCGTGTATTTTCAAATTCTAGCGATCTCGAGCCGGTTTACATACATTAATACATTAATACATTTAAATATGTGATTTTAGTATCTCAACAACACCAAATAGGCCTTATGAACTCTTCTAATGCCAAGTCAGAAGCAGAGAGGGCAGTTGCTGCTATTCTGCTAAGCTACTCTGCTTTATTTAGTAATGTGAATTTGTTTGTTAATTAAAATAGTTGTTTTCTATTTAAGATAGCAGGTTTGAAATGACTAGATCATAAAACTGGTTTTAGCTTTAACTTTAGCTAGCTAGCTAGGCTACCTAACCAGCTATAGTTTATAGTTGGTGTTTAGCTTAGCTGTGAGTTCAAGATAAGATGGACCTTTATTTATCCCTGGGGAAATTCAGGTATTCAGGTTTGCTGTTTGAGCTAGTCTTTTGCATCTTAGCTCAAACGGTCACAGCTAACTTGCTGCTTTTAAATAAATAACTCTTTGATTTAAACATGTTCAATGGTAAAACAGACACAAAGACTAAGTCTGTAAGCCTATTGCTTCTTAGCTTCGTATCTTAAGCTTCAACAGATTGATTGGTATTAATCGTCTTGTCTACTCTTGGCAAGAACGCAAATACATTTAGTTCTCATAATATTCCTCTAATCCTTGACCAAACTTTGTTTAGTGATTAAATGATTTGTCGTCATGAAACCCGAAAGGGCTTCATAAGAATCTAATGTGTTTACTCTTCTCTGGAACAGGCCGATCCATCACAATGGTGGCATTCATGGCTTCCTGGTGCAGTGAAATCAGCACATGGGAATAAAACTGGATTGACCAGAGAGTCACTGGGACACAGCTGACTGCAACATGCAAATACTGTGAGCACAAAGAGCGAGTCAGCAGAGAAGCACACTTCCTTTATAATCCATCTCCCTCTTTCAATTCACCTGAGGCGTCTCTTCTGGCAGAACAATAGCCTCCACCTGATCTGATTTCTACCTGGCATAACCTTTCTCTGCGGGGCCTCTTCACAGGGGCTTCCTTTGTTGAAGCAAGATGGACGAACAATGATTTCATTCATCCGAAGCAAACCTATGGAGCAGACAGCATGAAGTTTACATTTCACACTTTACACCCCATGAGAAATATCTAGTGTCTCAGACCTTTACTGCTCATTGATAACAGCAACCTTAAAAATGCAAAGCTTATCTTAGACAAACACCTCTATAGAATATTTCCTGCCAAGGACGTTATGTAAGACGAGTTTGAAGCCGCCTTGGCAGAGAGACATGTTTCCCTGCTGCTTATCTACCTGTAATCACCTTGGGTGTTGGCAAAGACGACAGATAAAGTCCGCTTTGTGTCTTTTCAACAAGAGGAGCTTTGTGTCATCCAGGAGGGATGAAACAATACTTGGATAAGCAGCCATAAAGTAGGCTACATTCCTTCTTAACATTACATGCAAAAACAGCAAGAAGCAAGGTTGAGGAGGATGCAATCGGGTTCAACATCTCTGCTGATGTAGGTTAAAGTTCCCAACTTGGAGAACTGAAGGGTTGCAAATGATTAACAGGACAGCAAAGCAGAAAAGGAACACATTTCTTCAAGTCTTTTTAAAGATATTTCCCTTAGAGTTGTCACATAATCAGATTGTACTATCTACACCAGGGGCGGCTCTAGCCCCCTGTGGCCCCCCTAAAAATGAAAAGTGAAAAAAATGAAAAATGTATGATTTATTACACGATTTATTGAATGACGGAATAGGCGGAACTAACGTTATTCGTCATTCTAGTCGGACCCATTAGAGCGGTGCACTCACTTTCACTGTCCGGCTGAAGCGGCGAAAAACAAACACTTTTCATCTCGGATCATCAGAGGCTGTTGCATCCAAGAAAGACTGATTGAAACCTATACGTTTCGAGAGACTACCACGATAAGTGAAGGTGAGTTAAACTATTGTATCTGTGTAATTGTAGATGTAAAGTAGAGATGTAACTGTTCATTGCCTTCATTTTTATATAAATATGATATGGTGTTAGTGCAAAAATTGTACTATAACTTAAACTGAAGCTAACAGTAATAACTATAAGATCTATCTGAAATAAATAAGTGTACTGAAACAAATACCAATAACTGTATTGCATTGTTTTCTTATGCGCAATTACTTCATACCGTCTAGTTCTCTTTTTCGTCCTGCATTTATTGTGCCCCCTCAGAAAATAACTGCCCCCCCAGTGGCCCCCCCAGTCAAATTGGTCTAGAACCGCCACTGATCTACACTATTACTGTGTCCAATAGAATCTAAGATAATGACACTATCAGGATATCTATACAAGATTGGATGGAAAAATGCTCCGTCAAATTTATTTTAACTTTGTTATTGTCTCTTATGCGGCAAATTAATTACATTTAAAATGAAGTGTGGGGAGATGGCCACTATATGGAACATTATCTAAGAGGCATTGGATTATTTAAATACAATCATATGTATAATATTACGATATAATTGTCCTTTTTTTGTGATTAACTAACGCCGAGTCGAAAGCTGAGGCTAGTCACCGTTAGCACAAGTTTAGCATTATTTTTGCTTCAAGATTGGATGGTAGAAAGTGCTTTATTTAGTTATGTGAATTTACTTGTTAATAAAAGGGCTTTTTTTCATTTATGATAACAAGTAGGTTAAAAATTAGTAGCTTATACATTTAGTTTTAGCTCTAACATAAGCTTACGCTAGCTATCCAAGTTATCTTCAACACTGTATGTTGTAATGTGTAATACACACAGTTTCCCTAATGTTTAGTTCCACATCTTTGTTACGCCTGAACAAGCTGGATGTAAAGCTATTTAAATCGTATGGACATTCACGGTTTCCAGTAGATGAATCATATCAACTTTCTTGGTCTTCTGACTTTTCCTCTATAGCCAAGGATAAAATGAGGCCTTTTTTTAGAGGAAAAAAATACTGAAATAAGACCAAAAAAAACCTCACAATGACACAGATGTAACTGGTAAAGACACTGCTTAACTTCCAGGGATCACAAGCCAATGAGGTTTGATATCCCTGAATTTGAACAGTGGTTTTGCTCAGAGCTAGGCTGAAATCTTTTAACATCTTTACGGCTCATTCCAACCTACATGCTCAAAGTGCGGAGAAACTGTGAGATCCGGAGAGCGAAAAAAACACAAAACCAACTGCTGACACAGAGTCTATCAAACTGAGATTTGTCTCAGCGTTTTATGAGGCCGCGGGGAGGTTCGTCTGCACGCCTGTCTCCGCGGAGCATCCATTTGTTTGAACTTTGCGGTAAAAAGTGCCTCCGACACAACAGCCAAGACTCCCGACTTCCTATTACATAAACATGCCTGGGAGGCGGTTGAGCTGAGGAGGATTTTAAGACATTGGATGAGACGAGAAGAGACAGGGAGACATGAAATGGGCAGAGGAACGAGACAGAAACAAAGAGGGGAGTAAAATGCAGCTTGCTTTCCACGGGGGAAGCAGCCTGGAAAAATAATTGTTGAGAGGAGACAGAGGAAAGCCACTAATGACAGCAGACAATAAAAACTGGCCACTACTGTAGCGTCTTCCCAGCCAGAATGACAACAACGCAGGGACAGACAGGACGGGCTACAGAGGGATTAAACAGCCTCAACCGCAGCACCTGAAAATAGAGCTTTGTCTGGGAATAGCCTGTTATTAGGGCGTCTAAACACAGGGTCGTCAGCTCTGTTCCGGCACCTCCTACTCTGAGGAATGGCTGCTGGCTAATTGGGTGGTCAGGAGGACTTTTTGACAAGCAGTGAATAGAAATCTGAATAATGAGGCTGAATTATATGTTACATGCGGCTGAGAATAAATCCTTGTAAATACAAATTTACTTGGACGGGAATCATTATTGCCTAAATAGTAATGATACAAATATGCAGCAAACCAAACAATGTGATTTAAAGGTGCCCTATTGTGCTTATTTTCAGTTTTAGCATGTAGTGTCTCTACTGAGACATGTCTCCATGCTTTAATGTTCAAAAAGCTCTTTATTTTTTTCATACTGCTTGTGCTGCAGCACCTCTTTTCACCCTCTGTCTGAAACCAGAGCCCAGTCTGCTCTGATTGGTTAGCTGGCCAGCTCTGTTGTGATTGGTCAACCGCTTAGAGATCACTACAATGTGTTGGAGCGTAAGCCAATAGTGGAGCGAGTGTTATGTAGTGATGTTACTATGTTCAGGAAATAAACAAAGGAGTCCAATGGAGGTGTTTCAGGCAGGGGGGGGGGGGGTTAGCCTTTGCAGACCATTTACATGCACACAAACCTATATCATACAACATTGAGGAAAAGGAAAACCCCCAAAAAACTACAAAGACAAAAAATGAATTTCAAGACTTTTTTTTTTAATATGACTAAACTCTCTCTAAGGCAGCAGTTTGTGTCCACAGGTCGCTCTAACGTCTCACAGTGAATCAAATAAAACAGTTTAAAAATCAGTTTTGCTGTGTGCTACAAACGTCATTAGACAAATCTTGGTAAATAAAAGTTCACAGACAATAATAATAACAATAAACATTCATTTTCCCCTTCAAGTACGCTACTATCCAAAGTGACGGGTGTAAAATTGGCAGAGGAAATAAAATATGTTCATGATTATTTACACATTACAGGTCCAATATGTGCGTATACATAACTGGAAACAAGTCATTTGGAAATGTTTCTGCTGTGTTTTTGGTGACACACACACACACACACACACCACACACACACACACACACACACACACACACCCACACACACACACACACACACACACACACACACACACACACACACACACACACACACACACACACACACACACACACACACACACACACACACACACACACACACACACAACACACACACACACCACACACACACACACACACCACACACACACACACACACACACAGTGATGTGACTGACTGGCTTCCAAGCTTTAAAACAGCTTCAGCAAAAGAACATTTAAGACTCAAGTTGATCGGCTTTAAAAAGGCAGCACCACCTCGTGTTGAGGTTTACTAACAGTCTCGTACCTGGAGCAGAACTAAAGGGCTCTTACACCAATTTTCCTGCTGCCTATATCCTTCATTCAGGATTAAACACACCTAAAACACACGATAAATGGACCGACATTGGAATATCTTGGAAAAGTCAAGCATGAAAGGTCATTTGTATCATTGGAAATAGTCGTTTGATAAAAAAAAAATATTTTGCTTGCAACTTATCTGCAGCTGCAATGATTTACAACAGACTTCTTGTACGTGCTAGCCTTTAAGTTAAGAATTGGCTTCACTACGCTGATGAAGAAAGTGTGACATGGTGGAGAACTCCTGGAATTAAAAGCTAGAAAGTGGACGTTGTGTTGTTGAAGTCTGGAAAGATTTGTACGTTCTTTTATGACTGAGAACCAGCAAGTATGTTCACAAGCACATTGATATTACATTGTTGGGTTAACAAGGTGGTGTCAAACTCAATTTCATCACGGCCACATTAGCATGATGGTTGCACTCAAAGGGCCGGTTGTAACTTTAAGACTATATAAAAATACATATATAAATATTTAATATATATAAAATAATGTTATTGCCTCTGCATTGTATTATTATTATCGGAGAGGGTAATAACTTCATAATTAACTACATCTGAAAGCAGAAGTCTATGGAAAATAATAGCAAGTCTCTTCAGTGAGGATGTCACAAAATGTTTTAAAAAGAAAAGCCAAATTCTGGAAAAAAGTCACAAAAAAAGGTGACATTTTGAAAAATAAGTCAAATTCTGAGAAAAAGGCAAATTCTAAGATAAAAGGCATATTTTTGAAGAAAAAACGTCAAATTTGAGATGCATTGTGGGACATGTAGTTTACGGGCAACGCTTCTGTAAATCGGCATGTAACCGTATAACAAACATATTCTTTCAGAGCTGTTGTGGGGCCACAGAAAATGAAGTCACGGCCGGATTTGGCCCCCGGGCCTTGAGTTTGACACCCCTGGTGTACAATGAATACAATATCTTCCACAGCTGTATCAGAGGAGCTCATATCCTGAAAATCAGATGCGATAGTTGGGCCTGGCGCCATACTGGGACAACTCAACATCACTTATGATGTATAGTTTGTGTTGTATGCTCTAGGAAATTCAGTTAACTAACAGAGTGGTTTATTTAAACTGAGTTTCACCTCAAAGATTCATGCAAAAGCACCGCTTTAAATCTTGTGTTTCTTCATGACAAACTCACGAATGAAGAGATGTTTGTGATCTGTACGTGAGGACGTAAAAACAAATATATAAACCCAATAATTAGACCTAAATCCGGACATGAGCAGGACTACAATGCGCTGTAAACACACTTGCTATGGAAACTCCCTGGAGGATATTTTTACATATCTCATCCTTCAAACAGCCGAGTGTGTCTTTGGTTTAACCGACTGAAACAAGCGCATGGTTTTGTGTCTAGGATGCTACATTATGTTTTAAAACTCGCAGGACAAAGACGACGGACTCTGCCTTAATGCTACGACATCAACACATTAAATACCTTCATGTTCAGCTCATCAGAACAACAGCAACGACTGATTGTGTTTTCATTCAACTGAGTGTCACCAAGCCGGACAGACGGTAGTGAAGTGTGTATACAGATGTGCACAAACAGACTTTTGGCTGACATCTTAATACATGTCAAATGTCAAAACATAAGAGAGTGTAAGAGGGCAGGCGGCGCACAACATATCACAAACACTATGTACAACAATGTACAAAATATACAGAAACACTCCAGCGAGCAATCACAGCTTCAGGGACTTTTTCTGACAGGTTTCAAAACACATGAATCTGTCGACTATGACGATGGGCATTGCATATTCCTTCTGAAATAGAGATAAAGACCTGGTCATAGTTTGGCTTTTCTATCAGGCGTGGAGATTTAAAACCTGGCAAATGAAACGTCATCAGGAATCAATAAAACACAGACATCTTGAAATGAAAAGAAACAAAAACACCGGCCCTCATCCTGACAAATGTACCGTGTCATGCAGCAACAAGTCCAGCTTCCAGAAACATTACTTTTCCTGACTTTAGGACATAATTTATTCACTTTAAAAATCGGACCAATTGTGTGTTTGTGCACTCGTGGGTAAAGAGGAAGATGTGCATTATTATGAAGCCACTTAACGCAGACTGATGGATAACACCGTGCTCATTTGTCCGACAAATCTGTCTTAACGTGTCTGTTCTCTGAGGGGAAGAACACATTTATCCCACTGGATTGTGCAAAATCATAACTTTATGTTCGTTGATGTGTTTTCTTTATATTATCAGTGAATTTCTACATTTTTTTGTCTGTCACACAGAATTTTCTGTTAATTTCATTCTTAAAACATGAAATGTCATGGATTGTACAGTAAACTGCTTCCAGACAGATGGGACTAATAGGAGTTTATTTTGTGAAATACACCGAACTCAGCGAGGCCTTTTTTAATGTCTTCACAGTGCAGTTAATTCCCTGGATGTCTATGGGACCAATAGCAGCTCAAAATGTACCTTTAAAAATGTATTCAAATTACTACATTTACAGATTTGTATTTCCTAATTTTCTGTATTAAGACATGTTCTCTTTGACCAATGAGCTAACATGCTGTTAAAGCTCAAAGCCATAGTGGGAGAAACTTGTTTGTTCAGTGTATGTACTTGTAAAATGTTGTTTAGAGACATTATTAATGCAGGGATAAGAACTACATAATAAAACCTATTTTTTTCAGAAGAGCTTCGTCTAAGAAATTCAAGAAAAGCTTGTCTTTGCGTTGAACATTAAACTCTCCATTTTGCTGCACATAATCAATCTGCACCGACATAATAAAGGCGTCCCTGAGTTCGTTAAAAAACTGAATCGAACTGAAGATTATTAACAGCCTTAAAAAAAACGTCTTTTTCACAACCAGTGGCAACACTAGATCAGCCTTCCGTTATAAGCATGATTAAGCTTTTTTAACAATAACTACAAATTGAAATTAATCTTCACAATTTGGACGCCCAAACATTTCACATTAAATCCATACATGTCATTCATTAGTCAGGAATGGAGTATGTACAGTGTGCAAATGAACCGTGGAGCAGGAAGTGTTTCTTGAGGTCCTGGAGCAGCAGAGGGTTGAAGCTCGTCTCACTCTTCATGCTTCACTACCAAACCTTAAAACAGTTGTTCCATCACATCGTTCCTTTCAGTCAACGCCCCTCAGCTCCTGCTGCTAATGTCTTTGGATCTGATTAACTTCATTAAAACATTTTCTCACAAGAAGCCTTTGTTTTCCTCCATTTACTTCTTCTTTAGTTAAGAAATTAAACTACAAATTAAATAAGACGAGCAGTGGCATTTCAAAACAAAGCGCAGTGTTAAAAGAGTCTTCAATAAAAAGTCTTAATTGCTCTCCGTTTGCACGAGACTAAACGTACCGTTAATCACATTATCGCTCCTTGGGACACACGATTGTTTTCTCTTTTGATTTTGTGGTTTTTCAGCAGAGTGGACTCTAGAAGAAGATGACGTCCTCCTTGTTGAGGTCCTCGGGGGCCATCTTGTAGGGGGGGGGCATGCTGTGGCTGTGTGAGAGCCCGTGAACGTTCACCTGGACCTGGGCGTTTGGGCTGAGGACCGGCGGCTGGAGGCAGCCTGTGCTCTGGGAGTGGGGGGGCATGCTGGGAGACTGGGAGTGTTGCATGCTGGGAGGCAGGGGGGGCTTCTGGACATTGGGAGGGTGGGGGGGGCTGATGGAGGAGTCTGGTCCGCTGTCTGGAGGACTGAGAGGATCTGTAAGAGACATTCAAGAGAGGGACATTAGAAGAGATGCAGAACAAATGACTTTTGGGAGACAATCCTTGATTTTTCTTAATTTGTACAAACTCAGTAATACCAGAACTTATAGAGCGCCGCAGTGACGCGTCCTAAAACCCGGAAGTAAACTCCTTCCGGTTCCTTCGACAAAAACGCGATCCGTCTCTTCAATGTGTTTCAACCACAGACCTTATTTCCAGCTATTCTCCTAAACCCTATGGAGAGATCCCATTGGCTCAGAGACGAGGGAACAGGAAGTGGTAAAATGCTAACTCACTTCCGGGTTTTAGGACTCGTCACTGTGGCGCTCTATACATGACGATTATAGACAGAGAGACAGATAACACGAATGGAGTTCAGGAGGTATATTTGACAATAATAGCCAATAGATCAGCCCCATGAAAATTCAAGTTAAGACTTTAATGTATGTAGAAAATGTGTAAGATACCAAGAACCAAAACAAATATACCTCGACTCGAGTCCTCTGTAGTAATATATGTTTCCTAGTAGCGAAAGTAAGGATGTTATGTAATATTTGACTACAGTTTACAGCTCAGACAGGGTCAATGGGTCAGGGTACCTACTGCTGTTTAACGTTTTCGACATATGGGAGTAAATGATGGGTTAAAACAGCATCTGCAATTAGGGGATATATGTATCCTGAGCTTGATCCTATTTCACTACTTAATGCTGTGAGATTAATAGAATATGTATTTAGTTGTTTTTACCGGACTAACTTATCCAACAGTAACACCGTGATGTTCTAGCAAGCGAGCGTGGAAAAGTGCGCCACCTTGCGTTCGATCGGATGCTCTCTTTTCACACTGAATCTGTCACATATGCACTATAAACACCATTTAACAGTTGGTGTGTTGAATAATGGCTATCCTGCAAGACACATTTTATATTACAAATGACAACCGGCTCTATAACGTCACAGCCTCATGTAGAGACAAGTTACATCCATTAGATGTGTTGCTATATAGGTGTGTGTGTGTGTGTGTGTGTGTGTGTGTGTGTGTGTGTGTGTGTGTGTGTGTGTGTGTGTGTGTGTGTGTGTGTGTGTGTGTGTGTGTGTGTGTGTGTGTGTGTGTGTGTGTGTGGCAACTGCTTTTGAGAATTGAGATTAAGGTCAGTGTCACTTCAGTGATTTCAGTCATTTAATAGTCAATGTTATTTTATCTATTCAAATATAATTCTGTTTTCCATGTTTGTGTATAGATGAGTAACACCTACGTCACTTCCGGGCAAAAATTACGGCCCCGCCCACTTTTGGGGGAAAATAACGCTGTCATTTGAACGGCGGTCAATAGAAATTCTGAAGTTTTTGCCAATCCGATCAGAAATGTAAGAAAACCGTGGATTTTCTGATCTTCAAAGCGCCCGATTACGATGGCCAGACAGGCAAATCATTTGAAATCGACGATCGGGCTCGATATATGGTTAAATGAAAATCAGTAGATGAGGCTGTAATTTTCGCCAGCTCTCATGAGCGAGGCAGAAAATAATTGTGTTATCATGCCAAAAAGCTGCTGTGTCGTTTATTGCTCCTCAAACATTAAAACAAATCCAGAGTTCAGTGTTTCTGAACTTCCTCAGGACAGTAAAAGAAGAGCTCTGTGGCTTCAGGCTCGATCGCCGTTCAAATGAAAGCGTTGGTTTCCCCCAAAAGTGGGCGGGGCCGTAAAGTGGCGTAGATGTTACTCTCATCTGTGGACATCGATCGCCTACTGCTATATTTAACCATATATCGAGCCCGATCTTGGATTTCCAATGACTTAATGTAATTGTTTGCCTGTCTGGCCATCATAATCGGGCCCTTTGAAGATCCACAAATACACAGTTTTCTTCCATTTCTGATTCGGATTGGCAAAAACTTGTATTTGTATTGACCGCCATTCAAAATGACAGCTTTGTTTTCCCCCAAAAGTGGGCGGAGCCGTACTTTTTGCCCGGAAATGGAGTGGAAATGTGTTACTCTCATCTATGCCGTCATTAACAGTTCTTAGAAAAAAAGAAAATCGGAATTAACCAAGAAAACTGCAATTGATGCAACGGCAGTTTTTACAGAACAAGGGATTACTCTCAAAATAGAATAAAAACAGCTGGTGGATTAGTGCCTTATACCTGTTTAATACAGCCGGGTTTACCCAGCCTAACTGAAATCTATCACCTGAAATCCTGCCAGAGTCTCTGTGTCGGAGGTAATCGTCAGGGCTTCAGGATTAGAGTGTCAAAATGTGTGTGTCAGCAGAACAGCCTGCCATTCATCATCACATGTGAAACTGATAGGTGTTTACACAGGGTGAGGCTGGGCATGAACACAGCGAGAGGAGTCCGGTCTGTCCAGGTGGAGTGTGTGTGTGTGTGTGTGTGTGTGTGTGTGTGTGTGTGTGTCTCTGTGAGAACCAAGATTAATAATGCAGCAGGCAAACACAGACGACAGGTGAGTGTGTTCAGGTTTGTCCTGTCGGAGCAGAGGAGGAAGTGTGTGCTGGCCCTCGAAGAGAATTGGCACAGTGTCACGTTTCTCTGCCGAACATTAAGGCACACATGTCTGTATATAATTGGCAATATTTGAAATAAATGCTTATCTGTAATAGTTATTTAAACTGTTTTTAAGTACATGTGGAGTTTCAATATAATGACGATGCTAATCCCGTTAGCTTGTCTAAGGCGTTTCCAATGTTAAGTTAGAATTCATGTGGATTTTTAATGCTTGGAAATCTGTGGACAGTGATTAATGACTCAGTTTTTGTAATTGTGGCAACAGACTTAAACTCATAACATGTCTTCCCTGACACACCGGGGACACATATGTATCTATGAAAGACATCAAAAAGTGCATTTTGCATGATAGGTGTCCTTTAAAAAGGTTACCTGAGTGGTGATGCAGGGTAGGAGGCAGCGGGGGGGCAGACTGCTGGTTGGGGCTGACGGAGCGCTTGGCCTTCAGGGCATTGTCGTCTCGGGCGGACAGCTTCAGGGGGAGCATCTGCTTCATATCCACTGAGGCTGGGGGGGGGGGGAGAGGGGGAACAAGAGAGGCAGACAGAAGGTGATTTAATTGTAGAATTAGATTACATTGGTAAACCGGAGAAACCCAGCTTCTCTCCGGACACTATTTGATAAATCAGAGGGCTGACCCAATTTAGACAGCTAATGTGATTCTAATGAGCCACTTTAAACCGTGGGGGGGGGGTCGGGTCAGACTCGTGTCGGCACAGATGGCTCTGTATCGATGAAGAGCGAGCGAGAGAAATCCATTTTAATACAGAAAATGCCGCACTGCTATATATCACCTGCATGAGTAACAGAGGGGGGGGGGACCTCAACGCAGCGCCCGTAAATATATTTTACAACCGTGTACTTTTATGATAATTGTTAGTTTGAGTTGGCGACCGACGCACTGTGAGCACAAGTGTAACAGAACACACTCTTCCTTTGTTTCATTTGTGAAGAGGAAGATTTACAAACTATTCATTCTCAATTTTACAAGACATTACAGGATGATTTGTGTTCCCATTAAAATATCAGTCACAAGATTGCCGTTGATGCATGTACAAGTGAAGACATGTATTATATTCAACTAGTAGATCTTTATAAAGGCCAGCAGGGCCACTGGTTGCAAAAAGGACTTCTCGTTTTATTTAAAACCTCAAAAAGCATTTTCATGGTGAGGAAAATGGTAATACTGTAGAGCAGGATGTCCATTTAGTAAATTATGTGATTCAGCGTTTATTAATGTGACAACAAACTCAACCATTTTTAAATGTGTGTTTTCATTTCTGTATTTCTGAGCTAGCTAGTCTAAGGGCACTTTAAGGTGGTTCTCAAGCGTACATTTTCCATCAGATTTAGGGCTATTATGACTTTATGCTTTATCCTTATGTTACATTACATGTTACTTGTTAGACGCTTATGCATCTATATACGCATACACTTTTCAAAATCACATTTCCTTTCCCTTTCCTTCCTGGTTCAGTTTCAAGAAGAATACTTAAAATACTCGACGATACCACGGCATTGTCCAGTTTGACTGTTAACCAGTTGAGCCTGTTTTTCAGGTCTCAGGCTCGAAAATGACATTCCCAGAACAAATGACTATAACTTCACTTCTAAAAGGGGTAAATTAATAATCTTTTTTCTCAAAGCAATGATAAAGCTGTGAGTTGGATGTAGAAAAGTCAGAATCAATATAGAATTTTTTTAAAGTAAATTCAGATTGAACACAGTAAAAAAAAAAATCTAAACATTACCCGTTGGTGAATGAGTGATGCGTAGCCAGATTGCCCAATACCGGAAGCTGTCATTCACTCTGGTAGCAGCTAATATGAAATCTCCGTTATTGACATAAATATGAAGATGGATTATCAGGAATCATTTCAAAGTGACAGACACATTGGATTAACCTATGGATTAACCTTCAGCAGCGTCTTTATCGTTTTAATGCCATTGAACACAACTTTTGATCAGAACAACAGCAACGGTGAGACGTTTTGGCTCCGTAAAGCTAATTGTTGTTGTTGTTGTCATTTCGCCGCGAGTTCTGATCGCTCGGTGATGATACTTATATGTCTGGAATCTGTGGAATCTCAGCTCACTAATCGATATCTTGTTGTGCAGATCCGATAAGTAATAAGGGTATTTAGCCATAAGTTCTGTGCTAAGTGCGTTGGCACAGAACTAATGCCACGTGCCCCCGCATGGGACTTAACTGGCTAACCGTCTTCTCCTATTAGAACTTTGACCCTTTCACATTGTGTTTTTACTAATGCTGTCAAAATTATCGCGTTAACGGCGGTAATTAATTTTTTGAATTAATTGCGTTAAAATATTTAACGCATGTGCAGAATGGCCCGCCCCATACGCGGTGCCACCAGTGGCAGCGGCAGGGTATGGCTGGGGTAGGCTACACCCATACCAAGAAATGGCTTAGCCCCACCATGAAAAATGATGTTAAAGTAAGCAAAATAAAGTCTGCCAACTCGCGGAGTAAATTGCACAGACAGCAGTTAGTAAGATTGATTTCAGTAGCCACTTGTCTGGAAATACCGAAGACCAGAAATGGTTTTGAAAACTTTTGTCACGTAGTGATCGTCTTCTCAATAGAACATCTTTGATAATGTCTTCTGGCCAATCAGAATCAAGATAACGGCGTGGTGTTGTTGCAGGAAGTCCCGACGGAGAATACTTTTGCTGTAGTACAGGGGTACACATAACTGGTACGCAGGTTATGTGCGTAATCTGAAATGCGTACCGTCACTTGTGTCACAAAGCACATTTGCGTACCCCCCCCCCCTCTGTCGACTTTCCTGAAGTACTCCCCCGTTGATAGAAATCAACACGTAATGAATTAAGACCCCACGGTTTGATGATTGATAGGTGTGTGGGCTGTCTTTCATTTTAACACGCAGAAAAATGTTATAATAAACATAGATACTAGGGCTGTGCGATTATGGCAAAAATCATAATCACGATTATTTGGGTCAATAATTCATATCACGATTATTTTGACGATTATTCATTGACCATTTATTGAACTTTAAATAAATAATATTTTACCAATAAACAAGATCAACAAATATGTTGTCGCACACTTCCAAAACCATACTAAACATATATTATTAATATGATAAATAAAAATAAATTAGACCAAAATAAATTAAATCCAATATGTTGCAGTGCACGGTCACAACCTACTGAAAACTCCTTAACATATAGCCAACGTGTTGGTAAAACATATTCATTATTCCACTCAGTTAAACGTTGAAGGCTGGCCAACCGTCATGGTCCAGAAGTAACAGGAAATAAATGTTGAACTACAATTTAAGACCAAATAAAAATGTTAGGCCACCATGGCAAATGCTGGTAGGGCTGCTCGTGTAATCTCTTAAAGATTGTTTGCAAGAAACACCAGCCTGTTTACATGGTCTGGTTTCAGAGATGAGCGCAGGCAGGGGACAATATTGCCACCTGTACTGAAGACCCTCAGCCACGCCCCGACACATGGGGTGACGCCGGCCAATCACAAAGCTTTGATGCGTTCAAGTGCATTATTCTGGCACAGGAAGATTATGTTACAGGACATAAAACAGAATATTGTTGTTCTATTTTTAGACACATCTTGCGATCGACTGGTTGGGCACCCCTGGGCTAGACCATAGGTCCGTTGTGGTGGCAAAGTAGCCAGCTGAAGCCACATCTCTCTCAACTTCCCCACGGCATTTGTCACATAGCGCAGGCAGCGCAGACCTGCTGAAATAATACCGAGACGGCATCGCGTAACGCTTGTCCAACGCGTTGACAAGTTGCTTAAAGCCCTGGTTGCTAACAGTGCTAACTGGGCACATATCTTTAGCGATGTGAAATGTAATGGCACCTGTAAGATCTCTGTGTCTCTGCGAGCTCGTCGCGTAGGCCGTTGCTCTGTACAATGCGTCCTGAATCGATGACTGTGATGATGTGGTGGATGAAGTCGAGCGGGCATCTGCTTTTTGTTGTATTACTGCCCGGTCGTATTGCACTTTGTGGTTGTATTTCAGGTGATTAAAGAGATTGGTTGTGTTAGCGTGTGGTGCAAACACAACCTGGTAACAAATCCTGCACTGTACTTTCTTTTGCTCCACGTCAGACTCCTGAAAGCCAAAGTACTTGCAAATAGTGGAAATAGTTTTACCCTTCTTTGTAACGAGTTGCTGCTCTTGTTCTGACATCTTCGCTCGCGCTGAACACTCACAACACGTCACTCCCACGTGGCCGAGTGGGCTTTTAGGGAGGGGCGAAAGCGCACCCAGCTAAATAATCGTATTTTGTCAATTATGCTGTTTTCATAATCGTCGCAAGCCATAATCGTAATCGCGATTAAAATACGATTAATTGCACAGCCCTAATACATACTGTATGTTAAATGGATATATCCGCCTTCTTTCATTTATCTTTCCATTCCCACAACAATATACATAAATAAATGGCATATTTTGGACATAGTTCGAATGGTGATTAATCTGATTAATTCATTTTTAAGCTGTGATTAATCTGATTAAAAATTGTAATCGTTTGACAGCCCTAGTTTTTACTTTATGAAAGTCACCTCAAAGCGCTTTTACATAGACAAGACAGCATTCACCCATTTACACACATTCATACAGAAGCTACCATACAAAGGGGCCATCTGCTCAAGGAAGCTAACATTCACACAGATTCTCACACCTTTGGCCTTGCTATGGGGAACAATTTGGGTTTGAGAATCTTTCCTAACGACACATCGACATGTTGACTGCAGGCGCTGGGAATCAAACTGCCAGACTTCTGATTGATGGGCGACTACTCTATCACAGTGGGCGCACATAAAGGAGTGTCTCACAAAACAGAAAAGGCTGTCAGACGGGCAGAGGAACAAGAGCATGTCTCCCATGTTTGGTGGGACAGTTTCATCCCACAGGCCATAAGAATGTTACACACCTGAACTTCTGAAAGAACATTCATCTGTTTGCAACTCACATATATCAATATTCAAATGACTGTATATAGACTATTCTGCACAGTTTTGTTAACTATGTTCGTTTTTCTCGCGTCCAGGAGAGAAGCTTAAAAAGGAGAGAAGCTTAAAAAGGAGACTAAATGGTCTCTGAGAAGGTTCAAATTGTACTTTAATTAAAAATATGGCCCGGTAATAATGTTACAAGCAGGATATTGTTCAGTCAGGAGAGAAAGGCTGCAGCTTCCTCTCCCAGTCGTGGCCGTGCAGAAGAGAGCTCACAAGCCTTCGTCCTTCCCGCTTGCTGGCTGTTCGCTCCTCCTCTCTGTGAGCTGTAGTGACGTAGGGGACTTCCCCCCTCGTTCGTCTGTGTCCGATATCGCGTTAAACAGAGGATTTCGACATTTTACATTCATTGCTTACTTCCACATGCCTTTTCTCCTCCTTATCTCTTTCATAACTTTATATGTTAACGGCGTCAATAGCCACTTTAATGATACTAATGGACGGTAGTCGCGGATGTCGTCATGAAGGATTTTCAGAATAAAAGCTTGGTATTGAGAACTTCCGGTTTTTTCCAGAATAAAATAGCATTTAAACTGACGGTATGTTTAAGGTACATTATGCCATAAAACATTGATTTTAATTTCTAACAGTTTCTATCATATTCTGTTTCTATTCTATTTTATTTACTTGTACTAGTTTATCTGTGTTATTGTGTTGCACTGTTGGAAGAGCCTGTGACCTAAGATGTTCATTGTCATAGGGAGGCGTGTGGCGCAGTGGGTTGTCCGTAGGTGTTGGGTCCAGGGGGTCACAGGTTCAAACCCCACTGCAGTCAGCATGTCGTTGTGTCCCTGAGACACTTCACCCCAAACTGCTCCTGTGGGGATTTCCCACAGTATTGAGTATATAAGTCGCTTTGGATAAAAGCGTCCAACAAGTAACGTGTGATGTAATGTCATAACTACACTGTAGCTATGCACACTGGTGCTTGAAATTGAAATTGAAAAGGATATCGCATTGTGTTTGTTACTTTCGTTGCAGTTGTATATGTCTTAAGTGTAATTTGGCTTGGCTTCCTATTTTGTATGGTCATGCTTTTATTTTGAAGGAGAGTTAGCGCAGTTGACAGTAGGGATGCTAGCGATTATTCGAATATTCGTTACAGTCTCCATAATCGAAAATTATTTTTAAAATTTGATTTATATATTTTTTTATTATTATTTATGTTTTTCTTTTTTTTCCTGGCTTAGTTTCAACCAAAATATAGACTAATGCTAATAATAGTAATAGTATTAATAATTGTAAATGGCCATTGGTCACACCACCAGTTTGTTTTACTGTAAACTTGGAGGAAGCCAACAGCACAGGCTGCGCAGACTGCTACACACCGACCAACCCCCCCCCCCCCCTCCGTCACATAGCCGGGGGGCTGCGGCGAATAATCGATTAATATTCGCCAGGGCTGTCCGATTTTCGAATTTGATCAAGGTCAGTTTCTGGCATCCCTAGTTGACAAGAAGTTGTTGTTGCTATGGAAACAACGTGACGGAGATTAACGGAGAAAAAATCATATCTACATATAAAGACGGAAAAGTAAACAATAACGTTTATGGTTAAGTGTTAGCACCCCCCGAAGAGGCACAAGCTCTTACGTTCAATAAGTTCAATTTGAAAAAAAAAAACGAATATCCGAATAACGAAATTGAAACCCGAATAGTACTCCAAAGAACGAATATTCGGGTACAGCCCTAATGCACACATGACAATACAAGCCTTGAAACTTGAAAGTCTACCTCCTAAACCACATGTGTGTGACCCAAACAACCAGCATTATGTGAGTTCCTTACCGCTGCTGTCAGTGCGATGCGAGGCCTTCCCGATCTTCCCTCCCTTCCCCTTGCCGCTGCTGAAGGCGGCCAGCTTGGTGGGGATCTGCTGCTGCACCCCCAGCAGTTTGTGCTGCTGGTTGGTGGTGCTGAACAGGTGGAGCGGCACCTCGGTCTTCAGAGGCAGGGCGGACGCGCTGGCCTCCCTCCGCAGCATCACCTCGGGCCGCTCTGCGTAGTCTGCCGGCGCCACAGACAGGCTGCCCCGCACCAGGGGCTTCTGGGGGATCGGCTGGTCCAGGACGCTGAGGGAGGAGGTGGTGAGGCCGGAGGACATGAGGAGGTCTCCGTTCAGACTGCCTGACAGAGGGGCCACCTGCAGGAGGAGGAGAGGTTAATGGCTGAGAGGGGACTGAAGGTACATTTCTGACCTGCTGCTAAATGATGAACCACCCAGATCTCTCAGGTCTTCTGGGACGGGTCTGCTTTCTGTCCCCAGAGTCAGACTCCTTTAAAAGCAAACTCAAAACCCATCTCTTTGGGGGGGGGGGATATTGTGTTTGTTACTTTTGTTGCAGTTGTATATGTCTTAAGTGTAATTTGGCTTGGCTTCCTATTTTGTATGGACATGCTTTTATTTTGAAGGAGAGTTAGCGCTGTTGACAGGAAGTTGTTGTTGCTATGGAAACAACGTGACGGAGATTAACGGAGAAAAGTAATATCTTCATATTAGCACCCCCCGAAGAGGCACAAGCTCTTACGTTGATATTGGAGATTTCAATAAATTAAAAAATGTTGGCAGCTGTGCTCTGCGAAAACAGAATATCCGAATAACGAAATTGAAACCCGAATAGCACTCCAACGAACGAACATTAGGATATTCCGGTACAGCCCTACTGTAAACTAGCTTCCATCACCTAGTTTCGGCTCATCGTTACCGTCACTTGAATCACTTGCTTTTATCCCGTGGCAATATTAATGTTGAGGTATAATGTTGTACAATGTTTTTTTAATTGTTATGCTATGATGTTTGTGTTTGTCTTTGCTTTGTACAGATCTTTGAGGCATTTCTTGTGATTTGGGGCTATAATAAATGTTGATTAGAACTGTGAAGCAGCGTTCAGTTGTTATGCTCCAAACATCTGGAACAAACTCCCAGAAACCTGCAGGTCCGCTGCAACTTTGACTACTTTTAAATCCAGACTGAAGACTTTTCTTTTTGCCGCTGCTTTTAATTGAACTATTCACATCTTAAACGGCACTGTAACTTTTATTCATGAATTTTGTCTTTTAATGTTTATTTTATTATCTTTGCTTTTTAATGACTGTTTTTAAATGCCGTTTTCTGAATGGCTTTAATTTTTGTAAAGCACTTTGAATTGTCTTGTGTTGAAAGGGGCTACTGTAAAGATGGCGCCGGTGATGATGTCTGCCGTGTCGTTTGCTCCTCTCCAACTCTGCCTTTTTTCCCCGCTTTAATTCAGTGTTTGTTTACTTTGTATTTTATTATATATGTTGCATTGTTGGAGGAGCTCAGGTCAGAAGAATTGCATTGCCATTTCTACACTGTAGCTTTTTGCATGTGACAATAAAACCTTTGAATCTTGAATTTTGAATCTTGAAAATAAAATTGTGGAGGCAGCTTTTTCCACTCAGCTCTTAACCAAGAACTTTCAGAGAGGAAAACTCAGTATAATTGTTTTCTACCGGCTGAAAACTTGTTCAACTAAGCTTTTATATAGTGATGCCCCCCCCCCCCCCTTCTTTTGGTCTTTAGTATTAATAATTGTATTTATTCATTATTGTAGTTATTAAGTTTGTCTCACTTTGACTGAGTGGGTTTTCAGTTATGTGTATTCTCTTGCTAATGTTGACCTTCGTTGAGCCCTCTATGTATCGTATACTCATGCTGCATGTGTGCCAATACGTTTTAAGCAACTTCAATGTCTTTTTTTAATCTTGTGTAGTTGTAGCTGCGTCCTCCTGAGTACAATGTTGCAAACATCATCATATAAGACTTTGAAATCAGCATTTGTGGTTCAAAGAAGGACGGCTTCCCAACTCTGCACTGTAATCATACATATCTGTGGTCTGAAACATCAAGTTTGCATTTTGAGTGTGTGTGCAGAGGCGGAAGAAGTACTCCGATGAAAGTAGAAATACTAAATTGTAAAATATACTATGTTACAAGTTAAGTCATGCACTGAACATCGTACAAGTAAAAGCACCAAAGTATTACATGTGTACATCCCAGCTGATAAAGGTAGAGCTGTGTGTATACTGCTTCAGGATGTCTTAACCTATACTTATATGTCAATTAATGTATACATTAACTAGGAACTAAAGCTGTATGATCAGTATAGTAAAAAGCTTAAGATTGCCTTCCAAAATGTAGTAGAAGTATAAAGTTGTATAGAAAGAAAATATGTAAAGTACAAGTACCTTAAATTGCCAATATACTTGACTCGTTTGTGTGTAGGCAGCCTGTGCTGTTGGCTATGTATGAGAATATAGTTCACACACACACACACACACACACACACACACACACACACACACACACACACACACAGGAGGAGCAGAGTATTTACAGGCTGCAGAGGGAATCAGAAACACATGCCATGTTTCTGCTGAGCACACACTTTGGTAACAGGCGTTTGAAGTGCTCCAAGAGATTCAAAGACAATGTGTACACACACACACACACACACACACACACACACACACACACACACACACACACACACACACACACACACACACACACACACACACACACACACACACACACACACACACACACACACACACACACACACACACACACACACACACACACACACACACACACACACACACACACACACACACACACACGTGTCTAACAAAGCAGAAAAGGCTGTTGGACGGGAAGAGGAACACGAGCATGTCTCCCATGACATCAGGGATAAAAGACACTGACTGCATTGTCTGGCTAATTACTCAACAGAAGGAAAGATGAGTCAGCATTATCTTTAAATCTGCATTCAATAAGGCTGACCAGGATTTCTGCAACAACAGACTGTGTGTGTGTGTGTGTGTGTGTGTGTGTGTATCATGTTGTGTTAGTAATCCCACATGTTGTAATGCATTATGTGAACTATAATAAGCATATTTCACTGTGTTTCGACGACACGTTTAAGCCCTTTGACAAGTGTGCAGTGTTTCCCACAGAACTTGATTCTATTTGTGGGGGCACTGCACCGCACCCCCCGGCAAGAAAAGCCAAAGGCCCCTTAACCTATTCGGGTGGTCCACACATCCACCCCCCCTCAAATAAGATAATATATGCAAGTTCATGGCTACTGTAGACAACGTTCTTGTTGCTCTGTGTGTTAATGAGAGACACACCGGAGTTGAGGATCTGTGGGGTTTATTCTCCCAGAAATATTTAGGCATTTAGCAGACGCCTTATTCCAAAGCGACTTACAATGACCAATCACAGGGACATTCTCCCTGGAGTAACCGAGGGCTAAGTGCCTTACTCAAAGGCAAGTGGTGTTCCAGGCAGGATTTAAACTCGCAACCTTCCGATAATCAGCCCACCTCACTATCCAGACCCCCAAAAAAATCCATTATGAAATGTATCCATTTGTGGCGGACGATATTTAATTGTGGCGGCCCGCCACAAATAAAATCAATGTATGGGAAACACTGGTGAGTCAACGTGCTGCGGAAGGATATTTATCACATTTAACCTATTTATTGCTGTTATTTTTGTACAATGTGCGCATTTTACTACTTTTAATGCTGATTTTATTGTATTTCATTCATTTGGTTAACTGGACTTTAACTTCACAATTTAAAGGGGACCTATCATGCAAAATGCACTTTTTTATGTCTTTTATACATAAATACGTGTCCCGGTGCGTCGGGGAACTCACGCAGCGTCAGAAAATAAAACCCTCTCTCTTTTCCTCTCTCGGGGAACAACGGAGCTGATCCAGATTTGCGTCCGATGTGGACCCACGGCCCTATCAGAAACGCTGCTATCATGTTGTAACTATTAATATATATAAGTTGTTATTTTAGATTTTGACTTTAAATTCTTACCAATAATTTAAATAAATGTTTAAAAAATAGAAAAAGCACAACAAGAAATGACAAAAAAAGAATCTTAAAACCACTTAATATGTAATTACAAACAAACTAAAGCCACAGAGTTAATGACACACTTGACCTAAAACCAGACAAAATCGCCACAATTTCGTATATCACCAAAATAAAGAAATCATCAGTGAGTAAAGCAATCTAACAAAAGTTTTACCACCAGTGTTGATTCATTTAAAAGTCTGACATCAGTGTGCTGCTCTTCCTGTTGGTATGCAGCCCACATGCTACCTGATTGATGATGCAGAACACTTCCTGTTGAGCGGGATCGCAGGATGACAGTGTTTCACCAGGCATGAAGGGCACGCTCATCTAACTGTGTGTGTGTGTGTGTGTGTGTGTGTGTGTGTAGACTAGCTTCTTCCAGTTGTAACAGCAGTGGGACCTGAGGCAGAGAGGGGGCCCTGCAGTGGGAAAGTCTCCCCCTTCTTTCCTCCCCTCCATCACTTTTCCCTCCCTCAGCACTCACTCATCCTGGCACACAGATGTTGCATTGTTCCCAGACAAGGTGAGCGGCTCCAAGCGGAGCAAACGGAGAGTTTCCAGGGCAGTAAACTGTGCGGAAAGAGCACAACGAGCTCGTACTGACAGCACATAAACAATTAGCACTGGCTGCCGTCCAGAGGCTGCTGTTAATGACAGGCTCCGAGCGGCTAATTATACAGCCAGGTTTCTCTCATCTGAAAAAACAGCCTGGATTCTCCCATTTCATCCATGTATACACTGCACAATGTGTTGCCTTGTAAACAGTCTGTGGGAAGGAGTTGATGCTATTGTAACAATGCCTTCTTAGGCTGCAAACGGAAATGAAAGCTAATCTTTTACACTTAAATCTAAGCCAAAAGGAAACGGCAGAGGTACTTTTAGCACGGCAGAAATATTCTACTCGGCTGAAACCGTTATCCTGCGTTGAATCCGACTATAATACACAATATGATGTGAAATAGTACCATGTGTGAGATATTGTTAGTATTTGCAGCTCAGATCTGTGGAGACTTAATGAGATTAGCAAACATTAGCCTTAACAGGATAGTTTGGATGTTTTAAAGTGGGGTTTTATAAGATACTTATCAATGTATTACCTACAGTAGTTGGCACACCCACAGCATGGAGAAACAGACAGCAGTAGATGCTAAGCAATGTACAGCCAATCTTATTTCAGCCTCCTAAAATATGGCTGTTACCTACGGTCGCACCAAAGCCACCAGACTCCATTGAGTCACAAACAGTAATTTAGCGTGCAGAACACAGGAGGTGCTGGTCTACCGCCGCCTGCATTAGTTTGTGTTATTGTGTGTCTGTGGTGTTTGGAAAGGGTTTGGTTTCAAAGTCACAAACAACTGACTGCTTACGGCCAACTACCTACAACCCTGCTTCGTAAAATACATCCATTTAGAGACTAATCTAACGTCAAATTGTGTCCCAGTAAATCATAGTTTAGAAATGTTATGATCAGCTGAGTAAATGCTGATTGGGTTTGATGAGGAGCAATCGTCCCGAGACATCACATTGAGCTGCAGGACTCACCTAATAAAGCAGTCAATGAATCAAGAACTACAAAGATTTTCTGATTCCAGCTCAAGTCGGACATTTGATGACAAGACCTTGGTTTGAAACTGTAATGGGAATCTTTGTTGATGTGCTGTAGACCAAACCATTGATCGATAATGTGCAGATTCATCAATGAAAATCATTCTTTTCATTCACCATTATTTAAAAATAATCGGTAACAGGAAACAAACATGAAGCAGAAAATCGCACATTTTGTTCATGCAACTTTCTCTTACAGGTAAAATCTATAAGTAGCTTGAGAATAGTTTAAAAAAAAGCGGAAAATCGCAATGTTTCTTTCCAATATCGCACCCTACATGGTTAAGGTGTCGATGTGTAAAGAGTTCAATGGGTTTTCCATTTTCAGACCACATGAACACAATCCACGACAGCGTCATAAATCAGCCTGAGGACAGGGGAAGAGATAACTCAGTGCGAAGGACAGATACAGGTCAACGTTTTACGACTGACCCTTTAATGTTTCTCTTGAGCTTTGCAGACCTTCCCATGTTTTTAGCAATGTTCTCTCTCAAATTGATGTAGTTACCGACACCAGGTAGCAATCCACTTTGACTGTTTTTACCTCAAGGGAAAAGCCAGAGAAAGGGGCAGTCCTTAAATTGAGTGGTTTGCCCGAAGCGGCTCAAGTTACTACAATAGTTATTCAATAAAGAAGCCCTATCGTGCTTTTCCCTTTAGGTTTTTGTGCATATTAAAGGTGGGGTAGGTAAGTTTGAGAAACCGGCTCGAGTGCGCTAGAATTTGAAAATACACAACCGGAGAAAATCTGCCACTTCCTCACAGAGTTCCTCCTCCAACACACACGAACGCACACATGACCAATGAGGGCACGAGATGAGTTTGTGCCCAGATGGAAGGCTGACAGGCAGGTAGGCCATCCAGTTATTTTAGCCGGGATGATTGGTCGTGCTTTTTACAGCGCCACGGCTTCCACAGATGACTTTTTTAATGGATTTTTTGTCAAAGCACTTAATGTATTAATTGCTATCGGGATGTTAAGAGCATTCCATGGAATATAACAAAAAGTGTATCTCGAGCCGGTTTCTCAAACTTACCTACCCCACCTTTAAATGGTCTGCAAAGGCTTAAATACCTGCGATTCGATTGGCTCGCGCTCCAACACATTGTATGTGAAAGGCTAAGGGGTGGGACATCTATAAATGGTTGACCAATCACAACAGAGCCGGCCAGCTAACCAATCAGAGCAGACTGGGCTCTGGTTTCAGACAGAGGGTGAAAAGAGGTGCTGCAGCACAGGCAGTATGAGAAAAACAAAGAGCTTTTTGAACATTAAAGCATGGAGACAGTAGAGACACTACATACTGATATACACCTGAACATCAGCAGGAGAGGACTCTTTAAAGTAGAGACACTACATACTGATATACACCTGAACATCAGCAGGAGAGGACTCTTTAAAGTAGAGACACTACATACTGATATACACCTGAACATCAGCAGGAGAGGACTCTTTAAAGTAGAGACACTACATACTGATATGAACCTGAACATCAGCAGGAGAGGACTCTTTAAAGTAGAGACACTACATACTGATATACACCTGAACATCAGCAGGAGAGGACTCTTTAAAGTAGAGACACTACATACTGATATACACCTGAACATCAGCAGGAGAGGACTCTTTAAAGTAGAGACACTACATACTGATATACACCTGAACATCAGCAGGAGAGGACTCTTTAAAGTAGAGACACTACATACTGATATGAACCTGAACATCAGCAGGAGAGGACTCTTTAAAGTAGAGACACTACATACTGATATACACCTGAACATCAGCGGGAGAGGACTCTTTAAAGTAGAGACACTACATACTGATATACACCTGAACATCAGCAGGAGAGGACTCTTTAAAGTAGAGACACTACATACTGATATACACCTGAACATCAGCAGGAGAGGACTCTTTAAAGTAGAGACACTACATACTGATATACACCTGAACATCAGCAGGAGATGACTCTTTAAAGTAGAGACACTACATACTGATATACACCTGAACATCAGCAGGAGAGGACTCTTTAAAGTAGAGACACTACATACTGATATACACCTGAACACCAGCAGGAGAGGACTCTTTAAAGTAGAGACACTACATACTGATATACACCTGAACATCAGCAGGAGAGGACTCTTTAAAGTAGAGACACTACATACTGATATACACCTGAAAGTTGGCATAATATAGGGCCCCTTTAAAACCATTTCTCGTAAAAGACTTCCACAAAATGCCTTGGATTGAACCTTTGGCCTAGAAGCAAGTTCTACACTTTATGTTTCCTTTTTGAAAACCAATGTTTTTCCATGGATTCTTGCTGCTTTGAGCAGGTCTATCTAATGTTAACTGTCCCAACTCCATGAACACGCTTTATGACTTTCCATTCAGTCGACTGTTGAGCAACCTCGAGGCTCCGAGCCATTAAAAGAGTCCAATGCCAAGTCCTTATCCAAGTGTGATCACATGAGATAACACATGAAAGGGAAGTTCCTCTGAAGTCAGGACGTGCCGCAACAAGCAGCGCTCTTGTGCAAACTCTCACATATGTTCCGAAACATAAACAAGAAGGCATGCCTTTTCATTTTTCATTTTTTATGGAAGTCTAATCATAGCTCTACGGGTTTGCTGATGAGCCTTAATGTCGGGTGGTGGTGATTAAATGTCTGTTGATATCAGGCTGCCTGGAAACGATCCTGAGGTCACAGCTGATGAAAAGAGTGTTTGATGTGTTTGACACAGAGGAGGGGGGACAAACCACTTCTCCCATAACAACATGCCAAGAAATTCCCATAGTACAGCCAACGGTATAGCATTGCAACCCATACATCTGTGTGTACAAAACACACCACTAAGCTGGTCTAAAACTATTATGGGTAGATTTAATGGGGTGCTGATAGGGTCCTGCTTCATGTCTTATCTTGCAGTCCGTGTAACAAACAAACACAAA